CCGACGCTGTAACCTCCCACCGGCAGGTACATCACCGACCCCCGCCACGCCGCCACCCTGGCGGGCGTCGCGGCGCGCGTCATCGATATATACACGCCCATCGTGCTCACAGATGCAGGGGTGGGTGGGCAGGCGCGCGACTTTGGTCTGCTCGTTGCAGCTTGAGGGGCATGCCTGGTGCCCCGGCGGCCGCGCCGCCCCAGGGACCCGCCGGTCGCAGCTCTTGCCTTGTAAGCGTGTGCAAGGCCCCGATTGCTCACCCGCATGCCTCGCCACCCAATGGCGCACCTGGCCCCCAATCCATGCACACTTGACTGGATCCCAACTCGTAATGCCTGCAACCCTCCTAAGCATGCGGCCTCGACCTTCCCTCCGCTGTAACTGTCGTAATCCTACTCGTGCTCCCGATCCTGATCCTGTAACCCTCCGCCCACACCCTCCCCCACCCATTTGATCAGGTGGATGCCGCGCTGGGCCTGCTGCGCGACGCGTTGGCTGCTGAGGTGGCGCTGCAGGCCGACCTGATGGCCATCCAGGGGGCCATAGAGCCCATTCTGGCCGCGGGACTCGCAGCGGCGCCCGCGGCCGCGGCGGCGCGGTAGCAGGCTCAACGCCCTCGAGCTCGCAGCTTCGGCGTGCGGGGGCTTGGCGCCGCCGGGACGCGGCCGCCCTGGTTTGGGTCGGCTGTGATTGCCTGTGTGTCATGGTGTGATGCACTTCGCGGGCGCGCCTCACTGTGGCCGCGTCGATGTGTTTGGGGCAGCGGCAGCAGCTCTGCTGGCGGCCGAACCACAACGCATGCATCACCCTGTGGCGCCGCAAGTGTCGCCCCGTGCTGCTGGGCATGTAAACAGACGCTATAACTGTTACAGGCTGTTTGTACCAGCCACCAGTCAGAAGTGTACAGCAACCGCAAGCTGAAACGACAAGGGTGGGGGGGCTTTGTTCTCGTCCCGCCGCGCGCTCCTGCCGCCGCTATGCAAATGCACCTTCCAGATTTCAATAAGCCTGGCGCCGTCGCCGCCGCCTGCCGCCGCCCGCCGCAGCTCGCCGCCGCAGCGGCCAGGCGTGGCCTGCCGAGCGCAGCGCTCCGGGGGCCCCCGCGCGCGCCGCAGCGCGGCGCAGCCGTCGAGCTGGCTTAGCCGCCCTTCATCTTGTTCTGCTGGTACCAGACGGCGAACAGCGGGATGCCGAGGCCCGTCACCCACATGCCAATGATCCAGGTGGCGACCTTGCGCTTGCGGCCGGGCCAGTTTTGGAAGTCCAGGTAGTTGGGGCCGTGCTCCTGGGGTTGCATGCAAGACGACGGGGGCAGGGGTGTTCGAAGGAGGGCGCCGAGGCTGGGCTCGCCGTGGCGTGCAGCAAGTGCATGATGCTGGCCTGAGCGAGCCGCATGGGGTCAGCTGACAAAGCGAGAGTCATGCGGCTGCGGATAGCGTCGCGGCAGCCAGGGTGCCACCAAGCGGGCCGCTCACATAGTCCTGGATGCGCCGTCAGTAGGTGTGCGGCCAGTTGAGAAAAAGATGCGGGCGCGAGAGGGTGGGCGGTCAGCGGTCTGCAGCAACCATGCTGCAACCAGTGGTACTGTCGCTTCACATCTATGAGCAACAGAGCTGGCTTCTGGTGGGGCACTGCCCAGCCTGCTGACCACGTCGCGCTGCCACACACTGTCGGCGCTGGCGTTGCAGCATCGCCGGTGAGCGAAAGTCGGCACACTCGATTGCGTTCATCGCATCACGGATTCCACGCACTGCTCAGACCGCTGCCAAGGGCACGGTTGCGACGCTGCTGCCGGAGCATCACGACTGATCTATAACTCAAGTAGAGCCTAGCGCTGAGCAAACTGGACTTGAAATCTTCGATCTGCCCACTACTACACAGAGCCACTCATGGTGCCAGCCAGCCAGTGGCGTGTCTCTTGCCCCGTATCACCGGCACAGCGGCCCAATGGCTGTGGCATCAAGCCTATGCGCGTCGAAACAACACCTAAACTCACATAATGGGACTTGGGCACGGAGCTAGTCCTGAAGCTCCGCGCGAGCTGGGGCGCAGCGTCCTTGCGCAGCAGCTCCCTCACGACGAGCCTGGCAGCTGCAGACATGGTTGCTTGTTGCCCGCGCGGGCGGCGAGGCAGCTGATACGCCCTAGATGCGCCGGGCTGATCTACCCGGCCTTGCACGATGCGACGGGGAGTGTGTCTGTCCTTATCTCAGTAATGTACCGCTATCCACACACATGGCTAGCACATCCTTACTGTACGGTAAACGGCGGCATTCAGGGCGCAGTGCGGCACATGCAAACTGGGAAGCTTCAATGGTTGCACATTGCCCATCGCCGCCCGCCCGGGCCTAGTGCCCCTTGTCTACCGTCATCTGGGCATCTGTGGTGCCCAGGGGCTGGATGTCCTGCCTAAGAGAAATCTTCTGGCCACCGCGTGAGACGGACGAGTCAGGCAAACTCCCAATTACACTATCAACCGAAACAAACCTGCAGGAGAGCATCGCGCAACACAGAAAAGCAGGAGGGGGCAGGGGACAGGGGACAGGCACACCCGTACCTGTGGCCGACCCTGGATGTTAGAGGCCCGATTTCCACGGCATGCAGGGTTGAAAGTCACATCACATTGCTTCGCCAAGCTGTGTTGTGCACGCAAGGACTAGTAATTGACGTGGTGCTGGCGGCCACTCGCCAAGAACAGAGCAGCCAGGCGCATTTGGCTGAACGCGCAGGCCAGTCAAGTGCCGGGCATGGCATGATGGCGCAGGGTCCTGGCAGTGCGTAAAATGAGTGATGGTCCGGGCGATGCACCGCCCCCCCCCAAAGGACCGCGACGTGAGTGATGATATACAGAAGGCGGTTGCGCCACCCTGCCCAAATGCGACGCTACATGACGGCTCTGGTGCTGCCTCTGCGACGGCGTCCAACGATCGGCATGGCAGCACACGTCGAATCGAGGGACGTGCGGGCAGACACTATGTTGGCCGCACATTCAGGCAGCTGCTTAGCAGGCGTTGTCAAAGGAGGACCGCATCGCCGTCCACAGCAGCCACCCAAGAAAGAAACCTGGGCTATCGGGTCGACGATGCATCAACAAAATAAGGGGTCTCGGCAGCTGCACACAAGCCTGGGCCGCCCTGCTACTGGCCGAGCACCGTTGCAACATACCGTCCCCGCGCCGCACAGGGCGCCGCCAGGCGCGTTTGTCATGTTATGGCGCGGCCTCCGGGTGCGCCGAGCGCGGGGCCGAGGCTCACATCGACGTGCGCCGCACCGACGACATCGCGAGCTGCGCCTTGCTGCAGAGCGGCAGCTTCAGGATCGCGTCTGCCGACGGCCGCTGCGCGGGGTCCTCATGCAACAAGGCCTGCGGTCGGGGTGGAGCGCAGCGGGTCACGAGGGGATGATACGCGCGAGGCCGGCGGCCACCGCGGTCGCCCTCAGGTGGGGGTGGCCACATGCCGCGGCGGCCGCGGCAACTGCGAATGTACTCGCCGCACATTGTGCGTACAGAAGCGCACCTGCCATCGGCCTGCCATGGCTTGCACCAGCACCGAGGGCAGCTCCAAGCCAAACACGGCCGTCGCCAAGCCCACGGAACTCGCATGCCCCCGCCCACCCACCTTGAGCATGTTGACAAACTGGGTGGTGAACGTGGGCAGCATCATGATCTTGCCCTGCCGCAGCCGCTGGTACGCGGGGCCTGCCTTTGGCAGCTCTGAGCCCAGCGCGAGCTCGTACAGCGTGGCGCCCAGGGCAAACACGTCCGCCTTGTCGAGCGCGTTGGTCTTGCCCTGCAGCAGGTCCCCAGAAAGGTAGCTGCGGGGTAGGGGCAAGAGGGGGCGGGGCCGGTGCGTGGGCGAGCGAGGCCGGCGCAGCAGTGTCATCACTTTTTGATGCAAACAATCAAAAGCAACAGCAAGAAAGAGCAAAGTAATGCGTGCCCGACTAGGCCGTCGTGATCATGGCTACCCAGATGCCCCGACCCGTCCCTCGTCCCTCGCGCCCCGCCGCCTCACCGCGCGTCCCCCTCGTCGACGCGCCAGTGGCCGTGCTTCAGCGTGGCCATACCAAAGTCCCCCAGCTTGTAGGTGCCGTTCACCCCACTGCCCAAATGGCGGAGCGACCACGGGCGCGGCGGGGGTTGAGCCACAGGAGACGACCCCAGGCACGCATTATGTAGCTGACAGCATCACGTTGTATTCCCCATGAGGCGACTTGCGCCCCTCCACCCCGGCTCGCTGCCCCAGCAGGCACAGCGCATGCGCAGAGAGGCCGACGGAGACGCTGAAATCTCTCCCCATCGGCCTGCCGCCCGCCCACCCCGCGGGCAGGGGCCGCGTGCGCAGGGGCGCCGGCGCCGTCCCCACCTGAATATGTTGTCTGGCTTCACGTCCAGGTGCGCGACGCCCTTGGCGTGGATGTGCGCCAGCGCGGAGGCCATCTGCTTCATGAGGAAGACCAGCTCCGGCTCCCTCCAGGGGTCCTTGGTGGTGGAGGCCATGCTGCCCAGGCTCTCTTGGCACATCTCCATCTGGATGTACATGTGGTCGCCCTGGGGCGAGTGTGTGTGTGTGGCATTTGTGTGTGTGTGTGTGTGTGTGTGTGTGCGCGCGCGCGCGCGAGGCATGTGTGTGCAAGGGGGGCATGCGTCCCCGTGCTTGCGCGAATGCAGGCATCTGGGCATTTGCAGTATACTTACAGCGCCGCGCCACATGGAGACAGCTACAACGAATGTGTGCCAGCCAGCTGGTGCTGCCATGCTGCGCCGACCCCGTCCCCCCGCCCTCCCTCCGGCGCACTCTGCTGTCTGTGCCCCACACCTGCATGTCCGGCTCCGCCCACGCGTCAAAGTACTGCACAATGTTGGGGTGAGCCCCCACGACAGCGTGCGCCTGCACTTCCTGCGGGTGGGAGGAGGAAGGGCAGGGCGGGCAGCCGAGGGTCAGCACGCTCCTCCAGGGGCCCGGGGCCCGGCTGGCGAGGTTCCCCGCTCGCCACGGGCGGGGGCAGCCGCGTCACAGTGGACATTCCCGCACCTGCAGCCAGCGGTTGCGCTCTGCGTCGGTGCAGAGCGGGCTGCGCGAGCGCTTGAGCGCGTAGTCGAGCCCGCTCAGCCGGTGGGTGGCGCGGTACACGCGGCTGAACGAGCCGCTGCCGATTTCCTTCACCACTTTGAACTTGATGCTGCGGTGGGCACACGATTGTAGGGCCACAGGGTTGAGCATGCACAGCATGAGGCGGTGGGATGCAGCAATTGCTGACCACTGAGTGGAATGCTAAATACTGCTAAAAGGGAGGCAGCAGTGACATCGGCTGGCCGGATTTGAGCATGGAGCAGCAGTTTGCCACGTTGCACAGGCGAGCCGCGGTGGTCCGCCGGCAGTGGGACCCCTCCGGCCCAATTCCCGCTCACTGGAGGCTGGTCAGCAGCGGCAGCGGCTTGGGCATGCTGCTGTCAATGCAGTGCTGCTGGTCCTTGTCGCCGCCGGTGACAAAGGGGTTTTTGAAGGTCGCAGGCGAGTGGGGACGTGCGAACCGCGACTTGTTTCGCGGCGGCACCGCGACGGGGGGGAGTGAGAATGTACAGCCTGCACGCGTTGGGCGCAAGAGGTGGGCGCAGATCAGCGTCTTGGCGCAGACCAAAGCCTTTCCTCGATGAAACAACATGTTGCCTGCTGCCTAGCACATATTGTACCCTGGGCTTGAGCGCCACTGCAGTCCCCTCCGCTTCAACCTATCGCCCGCAGCGGCTGCACACCTGACTGTGTCTGCTTGCTGCTGGTGCTGGGCCCGTCGCCCTGGCTCCTGCCGCTGGACTGACTCTGGCTGGGCTGGCTCGTAGCCTCGGACCCCTCCTCAAGCCCTGCAATGGTGCGGGGTGAGAGAGTTTGCAGGTCAGGGCCGCAGGAGGGGCGTGCGCCGATGCATGTGCCAACTTCGCCCTGTAAGCCTGTATCGGCGGCATGTGAGGAATTTTTCCCTTCAGGAAACCCTCACGGCAAGTTGATGGGGGGGGCTGACACACCTGCAGCGTGCCGCGGCCGCTTGATGTGCCGCACGGGCGACTTGGCCGGCGACTTGCTCTCCTGGTCCTCCCCGTTCTGGCACGCTGCAGTGGGGCAGAAGCGCGGTGCACGCGTGTCAGCGCTGGTGCTACGCATGGCCCTGCTACACCTGACCTGCTGCTTGTTTTGATGCCTTATGCAACCTTAGTGTAGTATAGTAAACTCTGCACATGGCAGGGCAGCTTTGAATCCCTGCCAGGTGCAGCTCTTGAAGCTAAGTGCTGGCACAAGCCTCACACCTCCAATATCGTAATCCACGTGAAACTGCTGGTCCACCGGGGTGGCGTAGTCAGGCGTGCTGCAGGGCGTGCAAGGATGCCGCAGCGCATGTTGGGGCGGTGGCGCAGTGCAGGTGATGTGACTGTTGCGAGGCGAGGTGCCCAAGCCTGTGTCTATCACATGTACAGGCAACTGATTTCTGCAAGGATGTCCTGCATCCCCTGCTTGTCTGACCCAATGTGATATGTATCACATTTGTTTCTTGCCGCTCACCAAGCCATCTCGCTCTGGCTGGGATACCGTGTCGTGTCGATGGTCAGCCGCTCCCGCAGCTGCTGGCTCGTCTGCCGCGCCGGCGGGCCTTGCTGGCTGAGGCTGCCGTGATGGTGAGCCTGGCTGTGGCTATTGCTGTGTTGCTGCTGCTGGTGCTGCTGCTGCTGCATGCCGTCCTGGCTCATCGGCGCCGCCAAACCCTGCTGCGAACTGGAGTTCTCGCTGTTGATGCGCACGTCGCGCAGTTTGTCTGACAGCAAGTTGCATGCCACCGATGTGCGCCTGAACATCAGCTGTCCCCTCTGCGAGCCATCCTGGCTCGCCTCCAAGTTCATGGAAGCCAGGGGACCCAGCCTGGCAAGCTGTCGGCACGAGCGCGTTGAAATTGCTTTTCTCCCACGCCTGCGACCGTCAAATAGGCCGCAGGCAGCAGGAGCGCGAGCCCTCCCGGCGCGTGAGTCCAGTGGCTGGCACGCTCCGCCTATCAAAAGAGGCCAGCAACAAGCGTGCTATAAGCAGTCCCAGCAAAGCCTTGGAGCTGGAGTGAGGCGACCTGCTGCGCCTGCTGTCGTCAGGTTGGTTTGCTTTCTCTCAGGCTGGCTTCAGCGATGGGGGCGCTGAGATGAAGGCGAGGCTGTATCATACGGTAGTACGGTAGTATGTAAACAAAGACGATGTAGCGCGTCGCAACAACTCTGCGCGTTGTGTCTTGTTACAAATTCAAAGATGATCTGGCATGCCGGACACTGGAGCACATGGTTGCGGCGTCAGGTTGCGGCAAAAACGTGATAGTTTCGTTGGAAGGGCTGCCTCAGCAAGGGCGAGCGGAGCGCTGGTGTGGCGTGCGACAGTCTGGTCGTTGTTGATTTGATGCACTGCCAACATCAAAGGCGCGTTGCAACAGGAGCTCGAGGACATACAGGCTTGTGGACACGCTCTCAATGCGGGCAGGCAAGCACCCAGCTCCGTCTGGGCGGGGGCAGCGAGTGAACGAGGCGGCTGAGGTCAGGCGGGCTTGCACAATACATTGCTACACCATCCACACGGGGCTTGCAACCCGTGATACAAGACTCTGCTTGCCCTGAGCACGCTCATTGCACCTGCATCCTGTGCCATGCACAATTTGCCGTGACGTCCGTTACATGTCAGCAAACATAACGATAGTGACTCTGCCGAAAACACAGTCAGGTTTACATTGGCGGAGCGCAAACGTGATTGCATGCACCTGCACAAGCACTACCAAACTGCCCTGCATCCGCAAGGGAGAGGGAGGGGTCACGCTAGTTGATCATGGCAACAGCTAAAACTGCCTCTCGGACATAGCAGCACTTCAAGACGGTTCTTGAACATGTGGAGATTCGAGGATTCAGGCATCGCGGATTGCCGAGCACTCAAAAAATGGGCTCCATGGCTTCCAAAGTGATGATGCTGTTTCCGCGGATGACCTGGTGCAGTTTGGTGATAGGTTGTGCGTGTGAGGGGGTTGATGTTGTGACTGAGTGCAGGACTTGGGCTGTGGGTCCTCAGCACGCAGTGGTTATCCTGCAAGGACCTGCTGCACGCAACTCACGTACAGTAAAGCAACATGCCTGCGCCCTGTCCTGCGCCTGCAGCAAGCGCCAACGCATGTCAGGTCAGCGTGCCCTCCGGCCCCTATCCATCGTAAGCCTGCTGGGTCCGGGGAAACATGTCTTGGCACCAAGGCATCGGGCGCTCCGTGCTACGCACCACCATGCCAATGTCCTGCTTGGCTTTCATGTCCACGGTGTTGTCCAGCACGATGTTCATGAAGGGGTCGAACCCGCGCAGCGTGCCCGTGACGTGGCGGTTGGCGTTGAGCTTGACTGCAATTAGGTGGTGGTGATGCAAGGGCCGTGGGGCGGTGGCGCAGGGGGGGAGTTGCCATGTCCCAGTGTAGGGGCACGCCTACGCCGCTGCGCTGCACCCTCGGTATCCGTCGTGGTACAAAAGCAACTGAAGCGCGTGGTTCCGCACCCCCGGGATGCTGCTCAATATGCATGAGCTCACGGCAAGGCACAGGCACCCTCAGACTGCTTGAGAGAGCACAAACACCGTGCCCAGCTGATGCCATGCACCAACACGACGCGGCGCCGACCCGATTGCAGCACTCACTGCTGAGCTTCTTGTCCATAAACTTGCGCAGCTCCGGGGGCTGCACCTTCGGCATGGTTGCTGCTGCTGGCCTTCACGCCTACGGCCTTGCGGACGGGAGCAGCGGCCAAGAACTGCAGCCTCCAAGATCTGGTGCCCTCTCTCTAGGTGTGCTCCGGCCTTAAATCTAATGAGTCAAGGTGGATGCTGTTTCCACGCCTCGCAGATGCCCAGATCACAAGTGTCAATGCTACTGGCGGCCCGCTATGTGCTGAGATCCAGTGAGGTTGTGTGAGACTTCGGACTGCCGTGGCCGCTCGTTGGAGGGAACACGAGTGCTGAGCACAGCTCAGGAGTGCGTGTGCAGCTGCTGCGGTCACCCGTGGCGCGTTACCCGACACCACTTGATTGTTCCAGGGCCTACGTGAACTAGGGAGCGACACTTTCGCATCGGTGGCGGCGGGTTGTGGCATTTGGGCACACTCTACTCAACCAGCCCTGTGAAGCACTCAGCTTTAGCAGTGGCATGCTTTTCACATGTGAGCAGGCAGGTGAAGGTTGCAGTGATTCTTGGTCTGGAGCACAAAGTGTGAAAGGGAGGGGAAAGAAATCATATATGGAGTAAAATAAATAGAAGTATACCTCAACTACCTTGGAGTCGTAGTCGGCCGTCACCGTCTCACCGGGGATCAAAGGAGCAAGTGTGCGGCAGGCAGCGGAATGCACAAAGCGAGTGGGGTATCCCTGCCCGTACCCGTTCCACCGGAGCTCATAACACAAAATCACCTGAACGTGGCGGCGAGTCGATCAGAGCGGCAGAAGGGGCTTGAGCTCGTGTTACAGAAAAAAGCGGCAAAGGGCGAGGGTGCACAGTGCGTGCTTGTGCGTGTGCAAGGGAGCTAACATGACAAGACGATGTCAGCAGATGCGCCGACAACCCCTTGAAAGCCCTGCATGTCAAGCGATGCTGCAATATTACTGCATTCTACAGTTCAGGGCACTGCGACCCGTCGAGCTTGGCGGGAAGTGCAAAATCGTCAGGCTGGTGTGACCTCCCAACTGTCTTGCGGTCTTGCACAGCTGTCCTGCTGCGCCAGGAAGGAAGGGAAGTGATGAATAGGGTCTAAGTCTGTGCGCAGCAGGTATGTGCTGCTTTGAATGATCGAATGCAACTAATCCAGTGCAAGCGGCATTGGAGCCGTCTGTTCAAAGCTGATTGGCACGCGCCCTACTGCATCTGCATCAACAAGCATGCTATATGAAAGTGGCCACATGGCCTGATGAGTTCTGCCCAGATTACGCCAGACTGGCAGGGTGCCTTCGATTCTGAGTCACTGAACCACTGGCAGACATACCGCTCGTTGCAGGCCACGGCGGCAGTTCGCGCGGGCCGGCTGCGCCCAGACATTCCACAATAAAGTTTTGCTGTGTTCTCAGCAAGTGCCTTGCACCACTGGTTCCTGGACGACCCTCGTCCAGCTCGTTCCAAGGCGGCTTCCAGCCGCCTCATGTCGGAACAGTCATCGTTAGAGCCTTGGTTGGCAGGGCGCCCTCTTGCAGCCACGCACCGTCCAGCACGTGGTGCACGATCTGAATGCACTGGTGTCGAAAATCTTTCTTTTCACGATCTTGGTTCATATCTTCGCCGATCTTGTGCATCATGCGGGGGGCTTCACACACGGTCCTCGCCCTTCTGGTGGCGATACTTGCCATCAGCAACCTACCATATGGCATATGTGCACGGGCACAGCCCGAGTCCGTGGTGCTGCAGGCGCTGCGCGGGAATGTCAAGGTGCTGCGCGCCATGTGCTTGCTGTGCTGGCCGCTGACAGCTGTGCACAACTGGCGGTGGCCTCCCGTGCAGCACCCAAGTTGGCTGCATAGCAGCCTGCCTGCCCGCTCAAGCTCGCTCTCGGCACGAATCAGGGGCAGCCGGGGACCGCAGCAACATGCGCTGCCGAGCTGCAACGACTAGCGGCTGTCAGGGCACCCTCTTCTGCCGCACGCCACGCTGCCGGCAAGCGCTGATGTGATCACCAGCGTCCCTCCTCTGCGGCTCTCGTGTGCCGTGCTCCGACCCGCAGGACGGCGCCAAGGCTCTGCCCGTCGTGCTGTGGCACGGCATGGGCGACAGCTGCTGCGCCGCGGGCGGCATGGGCGCAGTCAAGCAGCTGATCGAGGACGAGCTGGGTGGGTGCCGCGGCGGCCGGTGGGGATGCCACACGGCTACCCACACTTCACCTGCGGACAGGCCTCTCGCATGCGAGCGCGCCCGGCCATCCGCGCCGGCGCGGCGGGGAGGCAGCCGCGCCGGGACGGGGCCTTTTTATCTGGCATTGCAACCTTGGCCGTGGCGGGCGGTCCGTGCCCCTACCCACCCTCCGCCACCCCCGGACACCGTCTCAGGTGTGTTTGTGCACTCCATTGCCACCGGTGAGGGCGAATATCATGACATCTGGAGCTCTTTCATGGGCAACGTCAACGCCCAGGTGCGCTGAACCGGCTGAAACTGGACAAATTGGCATGTATTGGCACGGAAACGCTCCTAGGGGGCGCAGGGGTGGGGGGAGAGGCTCAGGGGCTTGGTGAGGCGGCCGACCCCTCTCTCCCTGCATCGTCCTGCATCTGCCGCCTGCGGCTCTGGTATTTAAGCCGCAGGCCTCTCAATCCGCACCCCGCTCGCGCCAGCCCCACGCAGTGCCCCCGCTCCAAGCTCCTGCGCACTCTCCACACCTGCCCTCCAACATCGCACAATGCCAGCGATTGCAAATGACATCTGCTCCTTCCCGCCATCCCCCCTCAAACACACACACATGCACACACACACACATACACACACACACACTACAAAAACGCACACGCGCACGCACACGCACTCGCCCATGCCCGTGCAGGTCGAGATCGTGTGCGGCCAGCTGAGCAAGATGCCCGAGCTCAAGCACGGCTTCAACGCCATCGGCTTCAGCCAGGGCGGCCAGTTCCTGAGGGTGAGCGCCGGCTGCAGCGCCCGCACCCCAGCACAGCATTTTCTCATTTCGCTTTGTCGCGCGCGAGGGCCTCGTCTGCCCGCCCTGCTCTCCTTTGTTACAAGCCTGTGGACCCGTCGCCGATCCTTCCATCTTGAGCCCTGCCGCTTGTCTGCTGCGCTGCCTCGCTAGTGTAGATCGAGTCGGCCCCTCATCCCCATGCCCCCCCTCCTCAGGCCGTCGTGGAGCGCTGCGCCCACACGCTGCCGCCGATCCGCACGCTCGTCACAGTGGGCGGGCAGCACCAGGTGCGGGCGCGACGCAGGGGGTTGGGGGGTGCGGGTGCGACTGCGGGCCCCGGCGCCAGGGCCTCGATCCTTGAAGGCTGCACCCTGAGCACGGCTGCACCCTGATGACAAAGAGCTCTTTGCCGCGCCGCTGCCGCGGATTTGGCCGCATCGTGTTTGCGAAAAAAGGCGGTGACGAAAGGCCCCGCTCTCCTCCCTGCACGTCAGGGCGTGATGAATACGCCCGGCTGCACCCAGGACGCCGACGGCTGGTCGGCCAAGGCCTGCGCGGTGAGATCGCCTGCGAGACGCGAGCCTCGCCGCCTTGGGCCCGGCCGCTGCCGCCGCGGCGCCCTGCCGCTGCAGTTCGCAGCTGCCTGCGTGCCTCCCTCCCCAGCAAATGGCGCGCATGCGCTGGGTACGTGCATCGCTATCCGCGACGCCGGCTGTTGCCGCCAAAACACGACTTTTGCGGTTGGCTCGCCTGGTCACCGCCCTGCAGATCATGCAGACGCTGCTGGCGCGCGGCGCGTACGCCCCCTGGGTCCGGGAGAACGTCGTGCAGGCGCAGTGAGCGGCCCAGGGCGTGCGCCGCGAATGCTTGCTTTGCGTGCCTGTGCCCGACACGCTTCGCCTTGTTCCTTGCCGTTCTGCACGGGCCCTTGTTGCCAGCATTCAGTCTCCAATCAATTCTCATCTGACATAAGGGCACCCGCTGACGGCACTCGCCACTCTCCCCGCAAGAAAGGGACGGCTCCAGCCCTCCGCTTTTGTGCTTCAATCCACCCCCTCAACCTCTGATCTGGTAACCTCCTGTCGGCAGATACTTCAAGGACCCCAGTGCGCTGCTGTCATATGTGGCCAACAACATATTCCTGGCCGACATCAACAACGAGCGCGCCGAGAAGAACCCGCAGTACGCGGACAATCTGGCGTCACTGGACAGGCTGGTGCTGTACCGCTTTGACGACGACACCACTGGTGAGTTGACGCGACCCTGTGGCAGGGTGATGCATGCGGAATGTATTGGTGGTAGGATCGGCCACTTTTCGTGTTCCCACTTCGAAATGGGCATGGGCCTGTGGATGGGGGCAGCTGTGTGTCGCGAGTCAGAAACCAGGTCAATATGTGTCTACTGCGCCCCACCCTCCTCCTTGCTTCGTGCCAGTCGTGCCCCGTGATAGTGCTTGGTTCAGCTTCTTTGATGGCAAGGACACGGTCGCCATTCAGGACCAGCCCATCTACAAAGAGGTGGGCGTGCACCGCACGCTGGGCATGCATGGGGCACGGGCTTTCTCAAGTCCGCACACAGAAGCGTGTGTGTGCGAGAAGGTGTGTGTGTGTGTGTTTTGTGAGGGGGCGTGCGTGAGTGTGCGCATCAAGTGCACCCTTGCCTCCCAGCTTCAACGCCACCGCGCAGCGCTGGCGGCTCACTCCTTTGCCCTCCTCAAGGCCGTTCCCGCGGCTCTCCCGTCCACAACCCACAGGACTGGATTGGCCTCAAGCGGCTGGATGAGAAGGGCGGGCTCATCATGGAGTCCGCCCCCGGCGAGCACATGCAGTTCACCCTGTCCTGGTTCCGCCGCGAGATCGTCCAGAGGTGGCTGTCGGCACCCGGTGACGACCAGGAGTGACACTTCGTGCATGGGCAATACGGCGACAGGCGCTGGCCTGGCGCGGTGCGGCACGCACAAGGAGGAAAGGCTTGAGCGGGGAGGTTTGTTCATACGTTAACATGCGTGCAAAACAATTGCAATTGCACTGATGCTTTGTATATGGGCGCGGCAACGCCGCTGCTTGCTTGGCATGGCATCGGCGGGCTTCCCGTCGCATGTTACGCCAGAAAAAGGCAGTGGAGCACACAGTGACATGCCAAGGATGACTGGGCCTGGCCATTGGCCGGCATAACGCATTTGAGAGCACGCCCTTGTCCATTGTCATGTCAAGACACCCGGCAAGCCCTGCTGCTTGATTTGTTGACTAGACGCCACTTTTTGGGGGGCGGCAGGAATCTTCACTACACATGCGTTGATCTGGGATTGACAAGCACAAAAATATGCGCGGCTGTTGTAACAAACACGGAAGCGACCTGACACACCATTCGTACAGCACGTTACCATTCGGCAGGCAACGTTGTAGTAGCCCTGCTTTGCACGAGGACGCGTGAGGGGGGTGAGCATGCACATGTTAAACATGGTCCATCAGCTGCCGCATGCAAGGCCGGTGCGTTGAAACTGCACATGCCAGCACGAAAATCAGCATGTATGGGCATTTTCAGAGCGCCACCCAACTAAAGTAACTTTCACAGCGTCGGGTGAATTAGCTGGCTGGCGGGGCGTGGCGGCATAGGCGGCCGATGTAACAAGAGCGGCAAGTTGGTGACCCAGCGCAGTAAGAACCACACTTTCGTCAAAATTTGTCATACCGACGCGGCATGCCTCGCCGAGTGCAGTAAGCGGGTTCTGGCTCGGTCACTCTTTTCAAATTCGCACCACTTCTCTCATTCTCTGGTCGCGGTCCTACTTGAACGCAACAACACAAAAGCTGCAACAATAGTGCAAGCGAAACATCGTGCACCACTGCATATCAAGCCCACTCTCCAAGCCCCGCCGCCTTCACAGCAAGCCTTGTTTTCTGAGCGAGCCCAGCCTGCGACACCCATCTGAAAGCGCTCCCACCTTTTGCATTTCCAGCAGCACTACTGCAATGGCGCACTGCAGCCATCTTGTGTTTACCTGTCTTCTCGTGCTGCTGGCAGGTGCGTGAGGTTCCCCTTCCGCCGGCCTGACCCGACATCCCTGGGTGGCTGACACAGCACACCAAACCCAGCAGCACTGCGTGCAGAGCTCTTGCATATCTGTCGCGGTGCAAACAGCCTGAATTCCATGCGTCGGCTGCCCAGCTCAACACTGTGGCCTTCCGTCGTGCATGCACCTCCCTCACCATTCCCCCTTCCCTCGACATGCCCCATCCCGCTTTCTGCAGCATCCGGCGCCGTGGCCGGCCGCGCCCTGCTGGGAGACGCCCCCCAGGGCGGCAAGCTCCAGTTCGTTCCCAAGGGCTGCACCCTAGCCTCCGTGCAGGTGGAGGCTCACTACGCATTCAAGTACGCTGTGTTCGGCCCCCGTGTCATCCGCGGCACCGTCAAGCTCAGCAACGGCAACACCTTTGCGGTGCCCATCTCAAAGGTCTCCGTCACCCTGGCGCCCGCTGTGCCCGTCAGCCCCTTCATCATCACGGCGTCATGCTCAGGCGGTTCGGTGCCTTCAAGCCCTCAGCCCTACCAGTACGGTGGGTCCCTGGTTGAATTCTGCGCAACTGCGTGCGTTGGTGACGTCAGGCCAGCCGCCCGGCTGGCAGGCAGTTGCGACGCGCTCGCCTACATCTTAGTGTGCCTCGATGATTTTGTTATCAATGTTCCTCCCGTCGCGCGCATGCACAAGCTCGCTCTGATTGCTGATCCGACCTCAACAACCCCGCCACCTCATCCTCTGCCGCGCAGGCACCCTGACCTGCACCTTTGAGAGCCCCGACCTGCCCACCTCCGGCCCCGCCGCCGGCTTCCGCGGCTGGAAGACCGCCGGCGCCACCGCCACGATCGGCATGAGCGGGGCCACCTGCAGCTCGGGCAGCAACGGCACCCCCATCAAGGGCTGGATCCTCACCGACATCTTCGGCTCAGGCCCCGGCAGCAGCAGCAGCGGCAGCGGCAGTAGCAGCGGCGGCTCCGGCGTCGGCGCGGCCGGCCCCCAGGGCGCCGGCGCCGGCAGGCCCGCGCTCCTCGGCGGCGCGGCCGCCGGCCGCAAGCTGTCGGAGGATGGGGCAGACGGCGCCGCCGGCCCCGTCGTCGGCTATGTCCCCAGCAGCAATGACTGCCTCGGGATGACTATCACCGCCTCCGCCTCCATGTCAGCCGATGGCGTCGTCAGCGGCAGCGTGTTCATCACCAACCCTCGGGAGTTCAGCATCCCGCTCTCCGCGGTGCGTGTGCAGATCAGCAACAGCGTCCCCGTCGCGCCGATCTTCGCCGACGCGGCTTGCCAAGGCGGCCTGAGCGTGCCCAGCAACCCGCAGCCGTTCCAGCTGGGCACGCTGGTCTGCAGCTACTCGGCGGCGATCCCCTCGGAGGGAATTGCCTCGGACCCCTCAAAGTGGCCCAGCGTCCTGCCCAAGGTTGACGTGGCGATGTCGGGCGCTCAGTGCGCCGGCGCTGTGGCGCCGATTCAACAGAGCAACCCTGGGCCGCTTCTGTACGGCCACTGATCAGATCACTGCCACGTGCTGCTTGCATGATTTTATTTTGACAGGTCAACCAGTTGATTTGACCATCTGCCTCTGCCTATTCTGAACTCCTGGCTGGACAAGCCGCGTCACTGCCCTGCTTCAAAACTTGATGGTGCAAATCACAAATCAGCCTGAAATGCCGCTGCAATGAGCGTCCCGCCGTTACAAAGGCGTGTGCTGCAGAACTTATCTTACACGCATTGCAAGTATGCGATTGTGAAAATGACCTCCGGGGGCAACGGATGCCCAAGATGTGTAACTCCCCCTGTTCATATGGTGTAGGGATAGAACTCTTTGCACACATGCGGGTACATAGCAGGCGCCAGCAGCTCAGACATCCACGTCAGAGGCAGTAGCAGGAGAAGCGTCTTGCAACCTTTTCTTGATCAGAGGTACCAACAAGATTCCCTGGGGCCCTGGGGGGGGGGGGTGCGCAGGGAGGCGGGGGCCAGCAAAAGTAGCACCCTGATGACGTGCCGGGTTTTGCAAGATTAGTTTCGTCATGACACGGTGCAACACTCAAATCGTTTGCAGCAACTTGGGGCTCAGAGAATCTCCTGGCATGCGCCCAAGTGCCGCCACAAGCATGGCGCACGCTGGCATCGGGGTAGGCGCGGGCTGGGCGTGAGGTTGCCCGTCGCAGGCACACGCCATGTGGCGGTAGCAACACTCTCAGCTTATTCCCCGTTCAAACGCGCTGATAAGACAATAGTTTCACTTGCGCCGTTTCGCGGCCCTGTTTTGCGTTGAACCAACATCCCGCGGCAAGATCGCTTGCTCGCTCGCACGGCTGTACATAGCCATGGCGCACCTTCTCGGGCACTTGAAAAGTACCGAAACCCTTCTCCACCCAAGCCGGACGGCCGCGGGCGCCGCCAGCGCGGGACACCGCTCGGCGCCACAGTCATCCCGTGCGCCGCCCCGCCCCTGTCAGCGATCGGGTCAGCAGCTCGTCGCCCGCCCGCCGGCCGCGGACAGCCCCATCCGCAGCCTCCTTTGCGGCACGGGCGCATGCAGCGGCCGCGGCGGCGGCGCCAGGGACTCGACTCAAGGTGTGACGCCGTGCTAACCACCTCATGCAACATCTTGACGTTTGCAACATCACAAGAAGGGCCCACCCCACCAAGCCCCAGGGCTCGTGCTGTCCCCCTCCCACCGCTGTTTCATCACTACTGTACCCCCGCTCCGACCCCGAAACTGGCTGCGCCTTCTCACCCACCCCCGTGCAGCCGCAGCCGACCGCGCCTACGAGGCCGCCCTTGAACTCAGCAGGCAGCAGCAGCACGGCGCCGCGCGCGAAGCGTTTGAGGAGCTGCTGCGCGCGCACCCCAACATGTGCAAGGCCTGGGTCAGCTACGCGCAGGTGAGGACAGCAGGGCCCGCGCGCGGGTGCACACGTGTAAATATGTGTATGCACGAGTGGTCGTGTGTGCATGAGCGTATGTGCATGTATGTGTGCATGTGTATCGTGTGCATGCATGGCAGGCGGCCCCTGATGGACCGACTGGCAGCGGTCGTGCGCCCGCTGGCCGGCCTGCGAGCGGCACCTGGCGTGACCCCCTGCCGCAGCGTCTGTCCTGCTGACCCCTGAGGCTCTCAGCACGACTGCCTGAATCGCTCAGATCTTTACGCTTGATCCAAACCTACAGATGGAGAAGCGCATCGGCCGCCTCGGGGACCCTCAGCGCCTGCACATCGCTCGATTTGTGCTCCAGAGAGGTGCGTCCGCGAGTCCACGCAGTTGCGCTCAAGAGCGCACGCGCGCGCGCGTGTGCACGCCCCGACATACAGATGCCCGTGCTCTCACGCTTGCGCTGTTCCAGCGTGATCGCGTCGCACTGCAAGGCCCGCTGCGCTCTGCAGCCCATTACACCTTCCCTCCATTCGTGCCAGCTGCCAGATTTCCCATCATTCCCATCAAACACACACACACACACACATACACACATACACACACACTCACACACACGACGATTGCTTGCCCTCGCGACACCTCCAGGTCTGTCCTCAAACCCCGACAGCGCCTGCCTGGCGCAGGCCTGGGGACTGCTGGAGCTGCAGAGGTGAGTGCAAACGGCTGAGGCAACAAGCGGAAACGCTCCTTTGTCATACCCTGTTCCGCCTCTGCGGTAGCCCCCACCCCGCCCTGCTCTTGCTGCCCGCGGCCCTCGTGATTGTGTCTGGTCCAGTTTTTGATATTGCAGACTGCACAATCAATGCGGTGTGCCTGTCGCCGCGCTTCCGTGGCGCAGGGGCAACTGGTGGGCGGCTGTGCGGCTGCTGGAGCGCTGCGTGCTAATGGATGCGTCAAACGCGCCCGTGCTGAGGTGGCAGCCGGTGCTGAGCGCCCGCCAGACCGTCAGCAGCCGCCCCGGCCGCGCCGCCGGCGGCGGGGCAGCGCGCCGCCGCGGCGCGAGCGTGGTG